AGGTTACATCAGCATGCTCTATTGCATGAGCCGTTGTCCTTGGAGTATCTAATGAACTGTATAAATTAATGAGGTGGTGTCTTGATAGATACAGCAAGTCCTATTACAAACTGTACAATCAATTAACTATGAATCAGTTCTGCACAATTTGACCTGTGACAATATAGGTAGGCCATGTGAGTCAAAAGTAACTTTACAAATGTAGTGGGGATCAGAAATAGTAGCTATAAAGCACCACATTTGTAGTAAACATAGATGTTGGTAGGGGTGAGTGCTGCTTCTCAAAGAAGTTGAAGAAAGATGAGATGTACAGTACTCTACCAGGTTACATAGGGAAAGGTTGTGGATCTCCTGCTAATAGGGTCCCTAATGAGTCAAAAATATGGATAACAGCTGATCCAAAATTTTAAAATATAGCTTTTATTAAAAAAAAAAAGAAAAACTTCAAATAGTTATACACAACATTGCACACAACTTGAAGTACAAAAATGGATGACATTATTTCCAGAAATAATCCGCCTAATGCATTTTGTGCTGCATGGCACTTAATCTGAGGCACAATGAGACCCAAATACAGTCGGAAAATATAAACCTGAATGTTAAGTAGAAATTTTATGGGGGGCGTGGCTTGGACGTCGACCGGGATGGAGGCTTGAACTGTGAGCTCCGCTCCTCCGACCCCGCGAAAGCCCTAATTATTAGCCCACATCAGCACACATGGGACGAAACCGTAGAGGCGACCCCACTGGGACACCCAGGAGCTCCCAGGCTGGTCAATCTTATGGCCCGATGGACGGCTTTCTGCAGACGCCGGCAGACACACGCGACGAGGCCGGAGACCCCAAGATGGCGGCGCACTCAGCCGCGACCGGAGACACCCCTGCCTCTACACTTGAGGGGATTGGGGACGAACTGCGCACGATTGCGGCCTCTATGGCCACGAAGGCAGACTTGTTGGTCCTGACCACTACCATCCAGGACGCGCTGAGGGCGGAAATGGCCGGCATACGCACAGAGGTGACGGCACAAGGTACCCGAATACAGGAGCTGGAACACTCCCACGAGGCCCATACCGCCAGGTTGGTGGCTACCGACACGGCTGTAGCACGACAGGGTGTCCTACTATTGCAGCTACGAAGAGCGGTCGAAGATCTTGATAACCGGGGCCGCAGATGCAACATCAGGGTACGTGGCCTGCCCGAAGCAGAAGGCGAGGAAGACGTTGAGGACACCCTAACGGCCCTATTCCGCATGATTCTGCCAGCGGACACCTCCCTGGCACTAAGGTATGAGAGAGCACATAGGGCCCTACGCCCCCGATCACTCGAGGACGGCCCCAGAGACATAATCTGTTGCATCCATTCATTTGCGACAAAGGATGCCATCATGAAAGCGGCCAGGGCCCAACCCACCTGGGATTATCATGGAGCACAAGTCTCGCTGTACAACGATCTATCCCCGACCACCCTGGACGCTAGGAGGGCATTGCGGCCCATTACGTCTTTGCTGAGGGACCACAACATCCCCTACAAATGGGGCTTCCCGTTTGCCCTATCGGCAAGACACAGGAATGGCTGGGTGTCACTCCGCGGACCGGAGGAGGCCCCCGCCTTTCTGGAAGAACTTGGACTCCCTCCTACACCAATACCGGATTGGATCCTAGGGCCACTGGGGCCCGGCCAGAGGCCGCAACGCGCACCCCGCCGACGTGGGGGAAGATCACCGCCGAGACCTGCACAACGACGCCGTGAGGCGCAGGAAGGCCGAGATTGACGACCGTCAGCCTGATGCCGCTCACCCACCCGCCAGCTAAGTACTGTCCCCACTGCCAGAGTACTACCCCCACCACCCCATACCGGACTGGGACTTGGCCCATTGCTGTTATTGTTGGCCGATTTACCCCTGACCAGAAACATTCCCCAACCCTGTCTAATGTGGCTGCCGAGACAGGGGGGAGTATAGAAGGAGTATGAACAGTGGACACATCACCGGGAACTTTGCTGCTCCCCCTCTCCAATTCCCCCCCCTTTTTTTTTTTCTCTCTCTCCTCTACGCCTGGGAAAACAGAGCTGGCCCCCTGCACTGAAGCGCATGGTATCACTGCGGAACGAGACTTTTAGATCTGCTCACTGAGCAAATGATTACCTACCACTTACTGGAGATGTATCCTTAGAACCTTCTCATCTCAATAAGTACCTCTTATTTTTACTGTACTTGATGCATTTAACTGTGATGTTGCTCCACCCGCAGTGAGGTAGACTCGACTACATCTGGTAACAGAACAGGGGCGCTAGACTTGCTTTACAGAGCGTCCTAGACTGACGACAGAAAGGGAGAGCTGAGGAAGGGTAGGACAGGCAGCGGAACCAATGTATATATTTATGCTCTGAGGGGTCGAGAGGAGGGGGGACACCCGAGAGATTATATTTTGGAAGGGGAAAGGGGAGAGGGGATGAGAGACGTGAGCTGCGGGCCCAGGGAAGGGGGGAGAAAAGGAGAGGTAGGACAGAAGAGGAAGAGAAGAGAGGAGGAGGGCTGGTAACACGAGGGGGGTGTGGAGGGAAGGGGAGAAGACGGGGGGGGAGGGGGAGGGGCCAGACCTATGACAAAGGGACAAGAGCAAAGGCAAAGAGAAGGGAAGGGGAGGGAATTGAGAACAGGTGGAAAAAAGGGGGGGGAAAAGGAAAAAACTTAATTAAATATTATCTCTAAAACTGTCAGCTATGTTACATATTACTTAGGGATAAATGAGATATATGAGACAGTACACTACTATGGCCCCTGGGACGCCCTGACATACCCCCGATCACAGTCTACGAGGAGACATACGGCCCTACCCCACACCCAGAACCTACCCTACTGAGAAACAGAGTGACGGAGTTGGAGCTGTCACTTCCCATGGGATAAACCCGGCCCGACTGCTCTTGATATGATGTGTCAGAGGGGAACTTGAGACCAAGTAGAAAGATGGGGGGAGGTTATGGAAACTGCCTAGGACCAAACAAGGGGACCTGGCCTAAGAGTACACTAGCAGCGACAGCGGGCAACAAGGGGTGATGAATGTTTCTGCATACTTATTGTTATTGATATTATTTTTGTGTATACCTTAATCAATTATATCTGTTATAGTATAGCCTACCTTCTGATATACCTAAATTCCCCATGTTCATACACACCTGGGCTGGGGCCCGGATGGAGCGGGATAGATCTACATTCTACACACATACGCTTCACCATACCTGGTTTAGACACCGACCACTGCTCTACGCATTCACCTGCGCAAGTCTCTCGGCGGAGCCACAGGTACGCCCACTCACCGATCTGGTTATCGGGGGGACACCTGGCCACTCCTGCTGAGGCGCAGGTACTCCTCCTTCTCGAAGGAGGCTCCGGGGTAATACCACCGTTTACCCCACGGGGACATTACCCGATAGGGGGGTTCTCTTTGCCCACCCTTATTTTAATCTATCAACCTACACCACCCCGCACTCATACTCCACACCCACATACTCTCTTACACGTACACACATACCTTTACACATACCCCACCCACCGCAATCACCACACGCGTTTGGGCTCCACACAGGAACAAAGAGACAACACGCCTGACAGCGGACGACGACAAACAGGCTTCCCTGACACTCCCTCCACCCTTCATAGACCCACATTAGCCATACGAACACCCGTACACTATCCTAGCTCATCATCATTCGTGGGGCTGCGCCGTCGGCCCGGACCCTTGCGCCACTCGGGCGGACCTCCTGCAGACGAGCGTACATCGATCCGGACAAAGCCATGGCGTACCATCGCACCCCCATGACCGTCATGACACTCAATTGCAGGGGACTGAATATCCCGGAACGCCGCTCTCACCTGCTGAGGGTGCTGAAACAGAGGCATATATCGATCGCGATGCTACAAGAAACTCATTTCAAAGAAGGCGCTGCTCCCAAACTCCGTAACACATACTACCCTATAAGCTACTGCAACAACCACCCACTGGCTCGTCGGGCAGGAGTCGCAATACTGATAGCGGCGAACTTAGGTTTTCAGGAACTGGACCGGATGGTTGACGAACATGGACGCTTCCTATTTCTCAAAGGGGTGATAGCTGACAGAGTATACACCCTAGCGTCTATTTATGTACCCAATTCAAAACAAGCACAATTTCTGCGGACAACGCTACGCGCTCTACAAGGATTCTCGGAGGGGGCCCTCATAGTCGGGGGAGATTTTAATGCCCCCTTGGACCCGCTCCTGGACTCATCCACTGGCTACAGCAGCCTCTCACAAAAACACATTAGATCCATACGCAGATCATTAGGGGAGCTGTCGCTGGTCGATTGCTGGAGGACGCTACACCCCACCAGCAGAGACTACACGCACTATTCGGTGATACATGATCGCTACTCCCGGATTGACTATGTATTGATTAAGCAAGACGGACTATCTCGACTGAGAAAGGCATCCATAGAACCTGCAACATGGTCAGACCACGGATCAGTCCAAATAGAGCTGGAGTCCCCGTTATTTAAACCGACAACCTGGACCTGGCGCCTGAACGAATCCCTACTCCAGGATTTCGCGGTGAGGACTGAGGTTTCCCAAGCACTGGAACACTACTTTCAGGAAAACGGAACGGACGAGATGTCCCCTATATCCGTGTGGGAAGCACACAAGAGTGTCATACGCGGCACTCTTATTAGCATTGCGACCCGCAAACGGAAGGAAGCAACCCGCGCGATAGCAGAATTGTACGGCACCATCTCGCGCCTCGAGCTTCAACACAAACGCTCACAACTAGTTGAAACATACCGCGAATTAATGGAAGCCAGACGTAACCTGACAGCCCTTCTTACAAAACGATACCTACGATCGCTTCAAAGGTCGAAAAACTTCTTTTATACACACGCGAATAAAGGGGGGAAATTCCTCGCGCGCCTACTCCGAGGAGATATGACACGCACGCAGGTACGAAAAATCCGTCTGTCATCAGGCAGCATATCCCAGCACCCGGAGGACATAGCAGGGGAATTTCGAGAATACTATAATTCGCTATATAACCCCCGCCATTCGGAGGAGCCGACCCATAGGCGGGAATTGTCGCCACATATACGAACATACTTACAAGACACCATACGGACACAAATAAGCCCAGAAATGGCGTCCACGCTGGATGAACCGGTTGCCACCGACGATTTGGCGGCGGCACTTAAATGTGCGAAAACGGGGAAAGCCCCGGGTCCGGATGGACTTCCCACGAGCTATTACAAGCACTTCGCCCAGATCCTACTGCCGTGGCTGACAAAGGCAGTCAACAAAGTAACGGAGGGGGGACAATTTGGAGTGGAATCCCTTACGGCAACGATAACCGTCATACTTAAACCCGGAAAAGACCCGGAACAGTGCGGCAGCTATCGTCCAATCTCCCTGCTGAATGTGGACACGAAACTCCTGACAAAAGTCTTGGCGACCAGATTTCAACAGATACTGCCGAATTTAGTCCATGTGGACCAGACGGGATTTATCCCGGGCCGAGAAGCTCGGGACAGTACGCTACGCCTTTTCTCTGTACAACATCACGCAAGGAAACACCGGAAGCCTCTCCTGCTGTTATCCACAGATGCGGAGAAGGCTTTCGACCGGGTAGATTGGTCGTACATGACCCGAACACTCCAGCACATGGGCTTAGGGCAGAGGATTATGGCGTGGATATCTGCCATATACAGCTCACCGAGAGCGTCGGTTCGTGTTAACGGAGCTCTGACACCGAGCTTCGGAATTACAAACGGCACCAGGCAGGGATGCCCCCTATCGCCGCTCCTATTCGCTCTCTCCCTGGAGCCACTGCTACAGGCAGTCCGGGATCAACCGGACATCCATGGCTATTCCTGGCAAGGCACGGAACATAAGGTGGCAGCTTATGCAGATGACCTCCTGTTCTTTATTTCCCAACCACGGATCACATTACCGTGTATACTCTCAGAAATCGATAAATTTGGCCAGATATCCGGGTTTAAGCTAAACTTGGCGAAATGTGAGGCGCTAAACATCACCGTACCTGCGGCAGAATACCAATCCCTAGGCACGCTCTTCCCATTTCGTTGGTGTGCAGGGGCAATGAAATACCTAGGAGTCTGGATTCCGACGGATCCGAAGGATCTATACCGACTGAATTTTGCACCACTCCTGCAGTCAATCGAATCGGACCTGAAAAAATGGGCTTACCCGCACATAACGTGGCATGGCCGCATAGCAGTCCTTAAAATGAACATTCTCCCGAGGATCCTATACTTATTCCAGACCATCCCAGCAGCCCTACCGTCAACATTCTTTTCGACACTCCGGTCGGCTGTTATCCATTACACGTGGAGAGGCGAAAGATCTAGACTACGCCACGACTTATTGTGTATGCCCAGGCACAGAGGGGGTCTAGCGCTGCCAGATTTCAAAAAGTACCACCAAGCGGCGACCCTACAACGGATCCTGGAGTGGCATGAAACAGATACGAGCAAGCAATGGGTGTACTTGGACAGGGAGGGAGACACCGCAAAACTAAAAGCGATGGTGTGGAGGAGACGGACGACCAGGAGCGGCAGGAAACAAGCCGAGGGCCCGGTAGAACAGACATTGCTTACATGGGAAAGCCTTAGGGAAATACCCAGGGTCTCTCCGACCCCGAGCCCCTTGCTGCCGCTTGCACACAACCCCGATATAGGAGGTGGGCTGCCTGGGGAAGCCTGGACATTCCTGGGGGACGCGGAATACATCCCGATATCCTTGGTCACCCAGGACGGTACCCTAAAGACACTAGATGCGCTGCTGGTCGACCGACCACGATCACCGATGGCAATTCTCCGATATATACAGCTGCAACATTTTTACAACTCTCTGCCACATAAGGACAAACTACGTAGAGAGCTCACGTGGTTTGAGGACCTCTGCTCTCGTGGCGCATCACTGGGGAGATCAATCTCGAACCTGTACCAATACTTGCTGACCGACCACACGACGGACAACAACATCTTCCAGCGACTCTGGGAACGGGCCATGGACAAGACTTTCACACTGACGCAGTGGGACAAAGCCCTGATATGGCAACATAAGAGCTCCTCTAGCTCGCGGTATCAGGAGGTAAGCTATAAACTGATCTCCATGTGGTACAGGACACCGGTACTACTGCACAGGATCTTCCCTGCTGTCGAGCCAACGTGTTGGAGATGCCAGGAAGACAACGGGACTCTATTACACATCTGGTGGGAATGCAGACTTATAGCACCATTTTGGAACCAACTCAAATCAGATGTTCTCCTAATCCTTGGGAACGACACTGAATGGTCACAAGAACTGGCCTTACTGCACATCTCCTCACAACCACTATCCGCATACAAAAAATCTGTACTGCGCCATCTACTAAACGCCGCCAAATCACTCATTCCAGTATACTGGAAGAATACAGAAATCCCCACAAGAGAAGAGTGGATTCACAGGGTCGAAGACATTAGAGCGGCGGAGGCACTACAGGCAGAATTGACGGGCAGAGAGGCAAAATATGCGAACATCTGGGAGCCATGGCTCACCTTCCGGGCACAACAATAGGGGGGCGGTGGCGGGGGGAGCTGGGGGCCGGGAGATGGCGCAGCCCTCTCGACAGACTCACTACATACATTATGGCTGGCGGCCGCCCAATGTCACTCCTGTTGACAGACACTAAGCCTCATGTACCATCCACACCACCCCGACTGGACGAGATACTACAAAGGATGACTTGAGCCAACAAAAACGCCCCTAAGCGGCCCACATAAATACACACAATTAACTGACTAGTCGATACTCACATACCGCCCCTAACTAGACAGCACGACACAGCGACGGACTATGAGCCCTCACAGGCAAGAACAACGGTCTCCGGACCTCCACCATCCCCAAGGAGGGGAAGAGATAAAATGAGACAGATCTAACACTGCACGTTATCCACACCCAATCAGTTGATAGACGTCAGACACATCACCCTGACCCCCATGGGAACCCTGATTATACACCATATGACAAAACAGGCCGACTGGGACCTGACCGGACAGACGAACCATCTGAGGGACTGGGTGTTGCAGAACACAACGACCCTCATATGTAGGGACCCCTCGCCCTCAACCCTCCTTACTTATGACGAGGATATACCTTCACACTCACGGGGCATTACGGCTAACTTGTACCTCATACCTCCATCAACACAAGACACCTAATACGACACTTCCAACGCACGCCTATTGCGACATGCACAACCCGATCATACAAGCTAGACATGGAACACAACACGGTCAGGCAACAGGTTGACCAAGTCTGGGGAAACCTCATGACACAACTGTGCTCTCCCACAATGGCCCTCCTGCACCAAATGCGGACAGTTGAGGGAAGAATGAGAACACCTCGATTAAACATTCACATTGCTGGAGGGACTCCCACATGCTACCGTGTCCTCTTCTCAAACCAACACCATCCTCTTCCCATCCCACCTACAATAATTGTGTAATGCCACATATCTTTAATAACAACATTCAACAACGCCCTACCTGTGGGCAAAGACACACCCTAATCCAATGCATCACACCCCACTTCCACACCTCTCGACGAGAAGATTTGACACACGAAACATTAGTATTCACACGGCTATAAGACGCCGATACATATCGATTACCCCGCACCGCCCTAGCCCTCAGGGGACTGATCTGAATAACTATGATTACCACGAGCTCTAGCTAAGTACCCCTGGGAGAGGGACACGGTAACGGCTACTATTAACGATCTCATGTTAACCAATATTGCAATTGTAATAGATTATAACCACACATATTTATACTGTTTTGATATCTGATGCTTTTATTATGTAACCTTGTATTCTACTATAAATGCGGGCCTGCGTGCCCAACTTTACTTACTGACTGGCTTCAATAAAAACTGATTAACAAAAAAAAAAAAAAGGAAAATATAAACCTCAGTGGTTCTGGTCCTTCATAACACTATTCATCACTGAGAACAATTAGGGCTTCCTTCATATTTGCAAAAAAAATAAATACAAAAAAAATAAACATTGTCTCAAATGCTACAGGATAAATAAAAAGAAACTATATGCACAATTAGAATGAAACCAGTAACAAAAGATAAAGAAAACCCCTACTGGGGACAAGACTGTGTAATGCTGGCCCCCTACAAAGCCATGTTGGTTTGTCTGCCATCTGTGAAATGATGAAAATGGCGGTTAACTGTTGAGACTCTCTTTGTTACATATCCCAGAGCGAGCAATAGGTTGCTTGGATCAGATCTTTGCTGAACATTCCTCTATTAGGTACCATGATGGGATGCTTTCATTAAGATTCTGGAGGGTATCAGCACTGTTCATAGGTAGTGAGGAGGGAAGATAACGTAGACAAGTCAATGATATGTCATGATCTACCCCACTTCTCTGTTTGTGTAGGGGTGGACACATTTTCTTTTGGGCTGAAGCCTCATGTGTTTCTGGAGCCTAATGTAGCCTAATAGAAAAGGTAAAAAAAACAAAACAATAACAACGTTTGAATTAGTGAACTTCTAATTTAAGGCCAAAGTAACCGAACTGAAAGCATAATTGACTTTTTTTCAGTTTGGCTATCTTAACTTTAAATTTAAAATTCACTTTGAATTCTCACTTTTCTGAACAGTCCTGCAATAGTTGCCTATAGGTGTCCAGGGACAACACATGTGTACTTCTTTCTATGTAATGGCCTCTTTGCAGAAGAGTTCACTTTTTCACACTGACCAACAATACTCATGTAAACACATAACATGTCCCTGCCTCTGGTCATTCTATATTTGGCAATTCCCAATCAGTGCAGTCTGGTTTTCTATACTTTTTAATATGTTTACTCATTTTAATCACAATATAATGTGCAAAAACTGTATTCCATGATATAGTAATAAGTAAAATTGCTAAATTTCGGTCAAGTTTAGATAAGTTGGGATATTTCTGAAAATTGTCTTTTTTTTCACCTATATTTTGCTTTGTATACATGGATTTTACTTTAACCATTTAGTAAACAAACATGTTGGACTTACATTGACAGAGTTTGGGGTTTTCTATATACTTTGCCATGGGAACTTAGCCTGGAAGGCCACCACCGACAATCAGCGCAAGCTGTTTCAGGCTTATATGTTTCATAATAGTTTTCATGTGT